ATTCCACCTCATTTACCCTTCTCTGCTTCCCAGTGTACCTCCTATATCCTCACCTTTTCTGTGGTTGTTATTCTTCTCTTCAACTTTTTTCCCACTCATCTTTGCCTCCCGTCCCCTTTCAGTAACCCAATAATGGTTAAAGTATTTGGTTATGTTAGATGAGAATATGTTCCCATTAATTAACTGTGTCACCCTTGGCCAGTGATTATTTGCCTTGTTCTGATGGTATGTCATCCATAGCTAATGGGTTAACATCCCTCCTCTCCCTTTCTTGGCCATTCTCCCCCTCTTCTCCCTTCGCCTCCCTTATCCCCCCTCCCACATCTCCTGTCCCCTTCTTCACTCTTAATTTCTTCTTTTACCCAAACCTCTCTTCCCCCTTTTCCCCACCTCACTCTTTCCCACCCTTTTCTCCCTCCCCTTCCCCCTCCTCATCCCCACCTTCCTTTCCCCTTCTTCCCCACTCCTTTCCCCTCTCTTCCCCTCCTCCATTTCCCCCCTCTTCCCCTCCTCTATATCCCTCTCTTCCCCTCCTCCATTTCCCCCTCTTCCCCTCCTCCATTTCCCCCCTCTTCCCCTCCTCTATTTCCCTCTCTTCCCCTCCCCATTTCCCCCCCCCTCCCCCACCCCCCTTTCCCCATCCCCCATTTCCCCCACTTCCCCTCCCTTCCTTTTACCTCTCTATTTCCCCTTCTTCCCACCTCTCGATTTTCCTTTCTTCTCCCCACCCCCCATCTGTGTCATCTCTCTCCGTTGTCTTCCTTGCCTCTTTCAAGCCATCCTCATTTTCCCCGTGCCCTTTTCACACTCTGGACATCATTGTTTCATCTTTTTTAAATTTTTTAAGCATGTTCAATGAAAAGCAAGAAAGTTGAAATAATCTTTTCTGTATGATTGAGGGTGGGGGGGGGGAGGAATATTGGCATAGAGAGTGAAATCCACTGAGCACCCTGTTTTTCTAGATGGAGAAATGAGCCTTGGGCTTCTTGAACTTCCACAATTTACAAAGTCTAGAGAAATTATTACATGTAACTGTCATAGCTGCTGCAGCATGACTGGTTTTTGTCCTACAACAGGGGGGTATGGAGGGAAATGGGGACCTTTTTCCTGATTGGCTGCGCTCTTGCTGCCGTCAGAAAGTCACAATATTGAGTCACTGTTTTTACTTCGGTTGAAATCTGCAGCATCTTAGAATTTCAGATTTCTAGATTTCTTTGTCTTTTTATTTTATATACCTATATCTATATATGCATTTTTTTTTTTTTTTTTTAATTCATTATTATTGATTTTTTTTTTTTATGCAAGCTATTCTATATGCAACCATATTGTATATACATATGAAAGCTGGCTAAGTTTTACCTCGTGAAATGGCAGAAAGAAAGAGAGAAAAAAAGTTCAAATAGAATAAGTAACTTTGTAAATCGTTTCAACATGTTGCGAACATGGATAACTTAAGGCAGATAAGCACTTATTCTTTTGGGAAGATGGCTGGTAGTGTAGTTTCTATAAAAAAAAAAAATAAAAAAAAAGGAATTTAAATGTGATTAGAAGGAAGGATTTAATCACCCGTTTATTACTTTGTATGTAAATGTAAAGAAAAGGTACCTTTTTGTATTTTACATTTCTGTCTCGTTCTTCTATACCCTCCAACAAAGAAAGTGATGATTGAGAACATATGCTATATGTATTATTTCTATATTATAATTTGTTTCAAGTACTTACTCCAAGTCAGTGTTAAGATAAATACCTAATATTTTGAGGAAATTCTCCAGTATTGGAAAATGTACGCACACTATTCTCTTGTGAAAAATAGAATTATAGCGAAGAGAAGTTATGAATAATGAATGATGTATTGGGGTTAATTGCTGACTCGGCACAACTCCTTGCAGACAAGAAACGAGTGGGCTGCCCAACCCCAGACTATGAGGAGTCTTTCCTTCGAATCAGCACACCTAGGGAGGGTTCCTTGCTCTCTCTGTGGCAAACTTGTGGGGCCAGCCAAAATGAAGAGGCATCTCTTGATCCACACGGGGCAAAAGCCTTACGAATGTCCGCACTGTCACCACAGAACGAACCGCAAAGAGAACCTTGATGATCATATCCGTAGGAGGCACTCTAGTTGAACATAAAGATGCGTGTGAAAACCAGTCGCAGATGTGTCCCCTTTGAACAGCATGCGGACAGGAACCCCAATCCCACTCATCCATCCCCCCTCTCATGTCTTTTCTTAAGCTGAACATCTTTATTGAATAGATAATGCACAAGTTGCATAGGAGAGTGCTTGTAAATTGCACTGTTTGTACCCTTTTTATAGCAATTGTGTAAGGAAGTAGATAGAGAGGTTTGATGACACTCATCGTTTTGAAGGAAAACATTGCTGAGGTTGGATAGTTCTTGGCTCACCATTGTCTTGGAACTTGTTGGATGTGGAAAGCTAACAAGGACTTGGGTGAATGTCAACAGAGGTCAGTCCCAAGGTGGAAGGACCTGCCTGTGTTCTCTTGATAGGCTGGGGGAAAGATCCCAACCCAGTGATGACACACCAAGGGATAGGGCTAGTCAACCTAGGCTTTGTGAGGGAGCAGCTCTTGATGGACATTGTATTTCATTGCAGAGGGACACTGCCATGGTAGACCCTTACCTGAGACGGCATGTATGTCCTACTTGCTCTAAGGCCTTTGTCCTTGGCACCGACCTCAAGCGTCACCTTCTGATTCACACGGGAGAGAAACCATTCAAATGCCCGCATTGCCCTCATCGTGCCAACCGAAAGGGCAACCTGCTTGTCCATATCATGAATAGGCATGGAGAGCTGCCCAAGTGAGCTCTCTTTTGGTAACGTCTGGCGGAAAAGTCTGGTGTTTTTGTTTGTGTTTTTTATTATTATTTTCTTTGCCTTGTTCTGCTGAAAAGATTATTATATTGAAGGTCCTAGGTCAGTGAAATTTGATAAGAGTATTGGTTTTTGGATTTTCCCCCCCCTCCCCTTTAAGTGTGGACTTGAAATCCTGCATGTTGATTTCCAAAAAGGTGGAGCGCCAAAAGCAATGTTGACAAGAGGTCATCCTTGTTGCAGGGTGACCGAAGAGGGCCAGGCGGCAGCCTCATTGATGAGGTTGGGCTAACTGGTGTAAACTCTCGCTGGAGGCTCCTGATGAACCCCAAAGCAACCTCTGAAGGACAGAAAACCGTTGACTGCAGATATTGCGGCAAACGCTTCACAGACTCGTCCAACCTGCGGCGGCATGTCATGATACATACGGGGGAGAAGCCGTACCAGTGTCCACAGTGTAGCCATTCCTCTAATAGGAAGGGGAACCTTGTGGCACACATCATGGCTGTGCATCGAAATGTGTCCGAGTTTGTGTCTGATAAATCTTAGTCAAAAGTTGCAATGTAAGATTTATTCTTTTCTTTTCTTCTCCTTGTCTTCAGTGAATTTGTACATTTTCATTTCAAGATTTAAGAAATGCCAGATTAAAGTTCCTTATTTTTCTATTATTAATTTTTTACATCTGAAGCAATCTGAGAAGACACGGCATACATAATGTTGAATTTTAAACAATAACATTGTGTGCTTGATGAATGGCATGTCTGACTGTAACACCAAATTAAACAAGATTCAAACTGTGCATTGCTTTGTCCTTTTCCTTACAGCATGTCTGTGTGGGTAGTAAAGAGAAGCGAAAAGAGCTGAGGAGATGGTGCAAAGAAAATTGAATCCTTATTAGGGCAGAAGATTTGATTTTATAAGAATTTTGAAAGAAGAGAGAGAGAGAACGAAAGAATCCGATCATTAGGGTTACAGAGAAGTGCATTAGTGCATTCGTCTGATGAAGGCTGTTTTCTTTTACAGATTGGAGCCGAACTACTTGGGAATGTTTGCAAAGTTTGTGGGAAAGTGTTCAACGGAAGGAATTGGAAACAAAATCTTGAGTACCATTTCTTAACTCATACAAAACAAAAGCCCTTCAAATGCCCCATTTGCCCACACAGCTCAGCCCTTAAGTATAATTTAATCAGACACATTCGCAATAGACATAGCGAGCTCTTGTCCCCCGCATATCAGAATCAGCAGGGTGACAGGGAAGGCCATGAAATGAGTGGCCAAGGGAGTCAGTTGCCCCTTAGTAGGCTTGTCTCCCGTGAGATTCAGTTACCCCCCGTACGCGAGAGTCAGCTACATTCCAACCACGACATTCAGTTGCTCCATAGTAGAGAGATACAGGGTGCACAGAATCCAACTGAGGTTCAGATGCCCTCCAATCAGGAGGTCCCTTTACCCCCAAACTGTGATATTGGACTGCCTCTCAGTCAGGAGAATCAGCTCTGCCTCACTCAAGAGGGTCAGCTGAACCCCAGCTTAGGGAACCTAATGCCATCTAAACAGGAGGACAAGATGTAGGAAAAGTAAAACAAATGTTGTAATGGTAGTTGTCAATGACATGTTAAGGGAATTGATATATATATATATAAAATTGTTCTGTTTAGCAATTGTGGTGGTGCTGTTTGATTGATTGTCCGAAGTGAAAAGCGTGAAGTACTGAGAGTAGGTTTGTGTGTTGCAGGGGGAGGAGGGAGAGCTGCCAGGCATGCGTGTAAACAGGCGTGGAGAGGTGGTCACGGGGAGCCCCTGGCCACCCCTCGCTCTGTCCCCTCCCCACCCCAGGGGCACCCGGAGCCACGAGTGTACTCTGTGCGGGAAGGTCTTTGGATGGGCAGGGGACCTGAAGCGACACATGCGGACACACACTGGGGTGCGACCGTTTCAGTGTCCTCACTGCCCGTACAGAGCCAACCAACACCCAAACCTCACAAGGCATATCAGAACCAGACACTTGAAAAACCTTTGATTGTTTGCTGCTTGGAGAAATCTGGTCATGGGTTTTGAATGTGCAGACTCTCTTGACATTTTGTCCTAATTGTAACATTTCTGTTGGATATTTCCATGATGTGAGAACAGCTTTTGTTAATTTGTTTGAAGAAAAAGAAGTAAAAAA